GCTTCTCAAGAGAGCACTCACAGGAAGCCATTATTGATTAATGGTGGTTGGCATGAGATGAGACATCTTTGCCATTCCCTCTAAGGTTTCTTGCTGAAGGCTTTATCTTTGTCCTGCAATTAAAGTATGTTGAATAAAGCATAGGGGCTATAAATCATTCACTGGCCTTAGAAATCACACTTTTGGCCTTTTCAGTGTCTCTGGGCTGTATCTGTGCCTTCTATTCCGGTGGTGGTTGTCTCTTTAAGGATTTCTGGAAAACAGCATCCCATTTTTTCCTGATCAGACCCCTAGTACTTTGTGCTCAACTTACTTCCCCCTTTGACATTCACTTCCTTCTGGCCACCATCTCTGAGATGGCATCACACTTCTGCACGGAGGTTCCATCTCCTTTGGAGATTGTACAGCTTAAATTATTCTTCCTGACACTGATGTGTGTGGCCAAGGGCGTCCTGCTGGCCCTCATGTCATACGACCGGTCCATTGCTGTGCGCCACCCCTTGCAGTACCCTGTGCTCATGAGACGCCAGGTGTGCCTGCTCATGATGTGCTCAGTGCTTGCACACAGACCTCCATCTGTGGCTCCCGCACCATGGACCACTTCTGCGAGGTGCCAGCCCTGCTGAAGCTCCCCTGTGCAGACACCTCTGCCTATGAGCGGGCGCTGTCCACCTCGGGAGTGCTGAACCTGGTGCTTCTGCTTTCTCTCATTGCCGCCCCCTATGGCTATTCTGCTCATGCACTCAGAGGAGGCCCCGAAGCAAGGCCTTGGCCACCTGCTCCTCACACATCACGGTCATGGGACTCTTCTGTGGATCTGAGGTGTTCAGGTACATGGTGCCTCGTGCTCACCACAGCCCTCAGAGGGGCAACATGGAGGTGTGGATGGCTTTGGTCGAAGTGCTCCACACACTGGGCTCAGGCCAAAGCTGACCACACGTGGCTGCTCATGTGAGTCCATGCCTGACATCATACTCATCTCAAAACAGTTGTTTTTGGGTGCAGCCGCCAAGGCCTCATGTTCAGGCTAAATGTTCAGACAAAAGGCTAGTCGGATTCACATTTATGCCCCCTTCATGAAGCTTCCATCCTCATGACCCAGTTACTGCACCCCCTAAAGGCCTCACCTCCTAATGCCAAAACATGGCAGGGGGTCAGGATTTCAGCATATGAATGCTAGAAGGGCATAAACAGTCCACAACAATTACTATGTAACCACCATTATAACAGATTTATCCACCCCATACACACTCTTATCTTTGTAGCCTAGTATCATTTTTATTAGATTCATATACAACATTTATATTACTACAACGATTTAATTGTATCCTTATTTTAGACCTCCTATCACAAAGTACCCTGTGCACATTTTTCTGGTCCTTCAAAATAAGGTAGTGCCTCCCACCCATCCACTGGCCCCACTGATCTGCATTTTCCACCCCAGCATTGTATTTTCTCGAAAGACTACTTACATATGAAACCACCATATCCATTTCCTGATGCTTCCCTACATAGGTACTGGGGACTCTGCTGTGCTCACCACAGTGTCTCCAAGTTTGCTTAGAAAACTGTCAGGCATGTGAAACTGAACAAGTATCTGAAGAAGAAACAAAAGAATAAAAACACATTAACGAAAGAAAGACTAGATGAATATGTCAAATCTCAGAATCCAATAGGGGGAACAGCACCTCAATTGTGAACCTTTGGGAAGACCAAAAATACCAGTCACTTGTATGTCATTTGGGAACTCCATTTTTTTTTTAAAATAAAGGGCTTGGTGTTGAGAGTGCAGGACACCTGAGTATTATCAAGAGATTATATAGTTTGGAGAAAAAAGTGTCCTTATGTAGAAATCAAGAACCATCTTGGGGCGGTGAGATCAAATCTATGTTACATACCTGTTATGTTAAGCCACAGGGAATGTACAGAAATTGGGGTGGGAGGGATAGTCCTGAAATAAGGTGGGATAGATGTTATAGGTGTTTCTGATGAGTTTCCAGGTGACCCAGTGCTGGGAGAGAACTCTTATGTGCACCTGACAGCGCGTTTTCCAAGTGTGGCTAGGTTCAGTTGAGTAGGGATGAGACGGTCTGATGAGCATGAGCCATGGAGTTATAAGAACGTTTTATTTGGGCTCCAGGCAGTCCTTCCCTTTCTCGGAATATTTGCAGCATCATAGATTTCCCAAAGTGATGGATGACTATGGGACACACCCAAGAAGGAGCAGGTGCCCGTAGTTTATGAACAGAGCATGTTTCTTGGTAATAGAGTGTCATGGCTTGAATGTGCTTTGTCCCCTCTGGAACTCCTGTTGGAGTTTTATCCCCCATTGTGAGCTACAAAGAGGATGGAAACTTAGGCTGACTATGGTGTTCAGAGATGGGACCATTAGGGGAGGATTGAGATTAGACAAGGTCATCAAGGTACAGCCCCCGTGGCTGAATTCTGATGGCTTTATAGGAAGGGGGAGAGAGCAGGAGGCACAGACAGGTGCACACTCCTTGTCTCTCACCAGTTGATGGCCTGTGCTGCCTCAGAACCCTGACAGCAAGAAGGCCATCACGAGATCCAGCCCTCGATTTGGTTCCTCCAGAGTCCTGAGCCCAAACAAACCCCTCTTCTTTGAAACATATCCAGTCTGTGGCCTTGAGCTGTTTAGCAACAGAAAAAGAACTAATGCATACAGTGTGCGCACACTAAGAAATTGGTCAATCTAGATACGGAGTGACGGTGCCTGAGGTCAACCATCTCTGAGACATCTTCAGGTCCTGGCAGGAGGCTTGGGATGGTTTTCAGTCTAAGCCTGGAGCCCTGGACTCAGTGAGGGAAGCAGAGGTCCAAGGAAAGAACTAGATAAAGGTCCAGATTCAGATCCTGGAGGTCCACACTGATGTCGGACCCCTGCGTGCGCCTCTCTGGGAGAGACATGAGTGGCAGGCGTAAGTTTGGGACAACAGTTTGGGGATGTTGGATGGGGAAGGTTGTTATGCCAGAGGACTGATACCAGGAAAGGTTTTTTGGGGGTGTCCCATCATGGTCTGGTGAAGTTGGGGAACTGCCACAGAAATCTAGTTTATACTTTCTGCTTATAGCAATTTTGATCTGTCAGCTTAATTTGATCTGATAAACCTGTTCTGTGTTTAGATTTTTATAAGATTCAAAATTATAAAACAAGATTCACATAGTCAAGTTGTTCCAATCATAGGTAGAAGTTTTCCACCTAAAGACTGTGTCAGGTGAATAATGAAAAGTTCCTTTTGGATCTAATGACAAAGGGTCATTGTGACCTTATCAAGGGGAGCAGCCATAGAATGATGAAGGTGGGTAGAAGTTGGGAGCGGCCGAGGAGGGAGGTAGGAGGTTGGAGAAAGGGGATAAGTAGCTGATCTTTTCTCAGTGGGTCATGCCAAGGGCAAGGGGCAGAAAGTGGTTGAAGAGATGCTGGGAGGGCTGGCCATGGGGTCTCTGTGTGGTTCAGAGGAATTTAGACATATTTAAATGCTGAAGGTGGGAGTCACCAGAGAAAGAGAAGTTTAGGACCCAGGGCTACGTTGGAATATTGCGGGACATGAGGTTCCTAGGAAGGAGGCTCAGGTCTCTACCAGAGGATCAAGGAAATATCTTTATAATCAGAGAAAATGTAGAAACAATAGAACCTAATCAGAGATATTTGCAGATTTGGCAACTAGACCCCTAAAATGTCAATCTGATATTTTACAATTTTCCTGTGAGATATCAGAGAAGTTTTAAGGGCGCTTGAGTGTATGTTAAAAAAAAAAAGTGGGGAAATTTTATAACAGGATTTTTGGAAACTCAAAGGAGTTAATATGCCAACATATAGAAAGAAAAGAAAACCCCCCAGCATTATGTATTCTTTCCAGTTGACGCTGAATATTTTGTACTCATAGTGCTACCAAAATATCATGTTGTGTGCTTTTTCTTCAGCAGTTATCCTAAGATCAGTGGTAGCTGTGGCGTGAAGATAATTATAGTCCTCTAGGTCTGAAATTTTGCAAGGCAGGTAAGATGGATGGTAAGGAATTTTGAATTATTCCGAGGGAATTGTGGCAATCACAGACCACGGAGACCAAGATGTAAAGGAGTAAGGGGAAGGGAAGTGGGTAATGGGTACCAAAATATGCATAAAGAATAAGTTCTAATGTTCCGTAGCACACCAGGGTGACGATAGCTCTTAATAATTTATTACATATTTTATAAAGAACCAGAAGAGACAAGTTTGGAGTTTCCTAATACAAAGAAAGGATAACAGTTGAAGGAGGAGGACATGCTAATTATCCTGTTTGATCATTATATAATGAATTCTTGTATCAAATAATCCCCTTTGCTGCATATATATGTACTATCTGCATATATTGAATCCAAAAGGGAGGGTGAGGGAGGGAGAGAGGTGAAGATGTAATCTGGAGTAAGTTTTATTTTCGAGTGATTCTTATCTATTGTGTGGACATTTGAATGAAAAAGCTAGAAATCAGAAACTTGGGGTGAGCAAATAGTTTTTATAAATTATTTAGGAGTGAGTCTCTAAGGGTGGAATAGTTGATAATTTCACTGTGGACTTGGGTGGTACAGGAGGTACGACAGCCAGTGGTCAGTGGGCTAACCAGATGAATGGTCAACACAGAAGAACAGCAGAATTTGGGATTGAGGAAAAGACTGGGCACCCTGTGTCATGAGAGGGAGAATTGAGTTTCATGTCATTGAGACTGACAAGGACAACAGAAGACTTAAAGGATTCTCAAGCAGGAGGGGGTTTTGCAAGATGGCGGAGAGTTTTGACTTGGACTTTTCTGTGTTTAACTCCAGTCTGCTTGATGATGTCCCAGGATGCAGGTCAGACTCACCCCAGAGGAAGAGGAGGGATGGGAGTTCCAAAGAGCCGAGATAACTGTCATAGGGATAGTAAAAGAAGGCAGACTCGGCTGATCATTTTGATCCAGTTTCACGATTTATGTTTACAGGATAAGAGGAAAAGAAGTAAAATGGTCAAGACTTCACAGAGGAAGCAGCGTGACTGTGTGAACCAGTCCAAACCAAAGCCTGGTTTAAGCATCTCCATCCCCTTGAGGATGTCCAGTTACACGTTCAAGAGACCAGTTACGAGAATTATATCACACCCAGGCAATGAGGTTAGATACCATCAATGGGAGGAGAACTTGGACAAGCCCCAACAGGTCTGTTGGCAGAGGAGGCTGCAAGGACTCCAGGCGTACAGCAGTGTCAGGGAGCTCTTCAGCACTTTAGATCTCACTAAAACTTTGCAAAAACTTGCACCTGCTTGCATAGGTGCACCCATACCGGGGGCTCTGGCTGGTGGTCTGCACCCCAGCTCCGTGCCTGCCCTTGCCCCTTCTTCACACTTTGTGGAGTCGATTCCCGGAGCCAGTCTGGGCAGCCCCCAGCTCCTCTGCAAACAGTTCCTGGTGACTGAGGAAGATATTAGGAAACAGGAAAGGAAGGTGAAGATGGCAAGAGAGAGACTGGCAATAGCCATGATTGCAGACAGACTAGCCAGGGAGGCAGAGAAAGCACGGGGGCCCAGATGGGCGTCCTCGTGAACCCAGAAGACACTGTAGATGAAACGGGGCGTGGCCCTTTATTCACATCGCTTTGTAGGGACCATGTGTGTGTGTGTATATATATATATATATAGTTTGAATTGAGCTCCTGACACCTTAAAACACACCAATGCTTTTCCTTATTAAACTCCTTTGTGTAACACAAGAAAACATAACAGTGATTTCTTTATGAGATGAGAGATTGGGTTTCAAGTGAGAGGAATTTTTTTTCATGTATACTCCTGTTTTCATTAACTCTTTACACGCTTTATTTGTATGTGTGTGTGGTTTTTTTTTTTTTGGTACTGGGTATAGAACCTAGAGTCATTTTTACCACTGAACCACATCCCCAGCCTCTTTCTTAAATATTTCTTTTGAGACTAAGTCTCTCTAAGTTGCTTAGGGCCTCACCTCACTAAATTGCTGAAGCTGGCTTTGAACTTGTGATCCTCTTGCCTCAGCCTCCAGAGCCACTGGGATTACAGAGGTGTGCTGTAATTTACTTTTTAAAGTATTTATATATTTAAGGCATATGACATGGTGTTTTGATATGGTGAAATGATTACTTCCGCCAAGCAAATTAATATATCAATTCATAGTTAGATTTTTTTGTTTGTAGGTAGTAAATAAAATATACCTTCTTAGCGAACTCCCACTGTACAATATGTTATTGACAATAGTCTTCAGTGTGCACCCTCATTTTCTGGACTTATTCGTCCTGCGTAACTGGACTTATTTGTACCCTTTAATCTGCATCTCTCCACCCACGCTTGCCGTTAGTAACCTCCATTCTACTCTATGTTTGGGCGTTTTAGACACAGAGATTAAAGATTCCACATATATGTGCTGTCATGCAGTGTTTTTTTTTTTTTTTTTCTCTGCGTTGGGCTTATTTTACTTAAAGTCAATAGGGAGTTATCAACGTCCTGGAATCATCAGTATTTGTATCATCCTCATAGTCACAGGATGAAACCTGCTTCATCACTATGAATTACTATTTTTGGGTAATAGTTAGTAGATTCAAAAATAGTATTTCCTAAAAGGACTTTCTTGTCCGTTTTCCCAAATAAGGTATGTGCCTATAGTTACTCTTCTGTTTTTGATTGCCTGTCAACCCAGTGTTGCACAAAGAATGAAACAGCAGACATTCCTTCATTTTCTTGATCCATTGTGTGTTTGAAATTCATCTCACTCCATGAAATCCAACTTGCAGCCGGGCCCGGTGGCGCACGCCTGTAATCCCAGCGACTTGGGAGGCTGAGGCAGGAGGTGCCAAGCAACTCAGTGAGACCCTGTCTCTAAATAAAGTACAAAGTAGGGCTGTGGCTGTGGCTCAGTGGTGGAGTGCTGCTGAAGTTCAATTCCTGGTACACCCCCCGCCCCCCGCCCCCGCCAAAAAAAAAAAAAAAAGGAAACCAACATGCTGTTTTGGTGAATAATGACGTAGAGACACTTTTCAGCATTATTAATCTAACAAAGCTCTGCTTCTTGGAATTCAAGAGTTTCTTTGCCTCATCAAGCTTGCTGTATTATTCAGATCCTCTTTATCATGACTTTTGTTTGATGGATTTGCCAGTTTCTGAGAGTGACATACTAAAAATACACAACATGGGCTGGGGTGGTGGCTCACACTTGCCCAGCCTGTGTGAGGCACGGGGTTTGATTCTTAGCGCCACATATAAATAAAGGTCCATTGACAACTAAAAAAAACCATAACACATATGCCATATTTATAACATCCCTAAAATATTTGAAATTTTATCTTCAATCCTCTCTGATTTCATTTGGGACTCATCTAGAATTTTAGTTAGGTTGTGTTTTTGTTTGGTTCTTGGTACAAGGGTTGAACTCAGGGGCACTTAACTACTGAGTCACATCCCAGTCCTTTACAAATTTTTGTTTGAGACAGGATCTTGCTAAGCTTTTTAGGCTCCTGCTAAGTTGCTGAGGGCTGGCTTTGAACTTGTGATCCTGCCTCAGCCTCCTGTGTCACTGGGATCACAGGCACGTGCCACCAGGCCTGGCTAGGTTGTATTTTAATGACTTGTTTTAAAACTAATTCAGGTACGCTCTTCTTCTTTTCCTCATTACTCCTGTTCTCTTCCTTCCAATGTGTGAGTTTGCATTTGTCCTAAAGTGTGTTCTCCCTGGTTCTCTTACTGGAGCTGAGGGAGGCTGCTGGGTTGGTCTGTATGCCTGGAAGTGTCCTCTATCCCCTTGCCCCAGGTAGTTGGGCTTAGGTACAAGGGATTCTTTTTGTCCAATCATAGTATGTTTCTGAGCCTCTATCCTTTTGACCTTAAGATGGAAATAAAACCCTCAAGGGATGTGGCTTGGTTGATTTTGTGTTGCCATAACAGAATTTCACAGATGGCACAACTTATACAGAACAGAAATTTATTCTCAGAGTTTTGGAGGCGGGGAATTCCGAGATCAAGGTGCTGGCCTCTGCCAAGGGCCTTCTAGCTTTGTTCTTGATGGTGGACGGTGGAAGGGCAAAAGAGACCAATGCTAAGTCTTCGCAGGGCAGAAAAGCAGGGAAGAGAGAGCGCCCACTCCCACAGCCCTCGTCTGTAGCGGCATTATGCCAACTCACGGGGCCGGAGCCCTTGTGACCTGAGCACATCTTGCTAGGTCCCCCTCACTGTATGCTGTCGCCTTGGGGATTAAGTTTCCAACATTTAGATTTTGGGGGAGCTACATTCAAAGAGGGACACAGCAGAGGGACAGCGTGACGGATTTGGTGCCTGCAGAGCTCGCCAAGTCATGACGACACTTCCACAGAGCGCACAGAAGATCAAAGGACCTTGGGTCTCTTGGCATGTGTCCCTGTTGTCAACTGAGGTGTGACAGTAGTTGATGAGTGGTGGTCATCAGCATCATTACCGTGATCTTCAGAGGGTGCATTCTTAGAGAAAGCCTGCTCAAGATGGAGACTGTGAGGCTCACTCCAAAACGGCTCGAAGGGGGGGCAGGATTGTCATTTTAATTCCCAGCCCCTGGGTATCATCACTTGTGCTGGGCTGAAAAAGGTGTGGAGATCACGCAACGTATTCCAGCAAATCAAGGCAGGACGGCACAGCGGGCCTCACACCCGGGACACTTGGTTCTACTTGTCTGCAGAAAAAGATGGGGAAAAATAAAAAGGACAGATCTGCTTAGATATACCTCCCCACGCTTTACTGTTCTCTATATCCAAAACAGACACCGTCTTCAGAGAGCCTCGCCCTCACTCAGGGACTCAGGCCTCCAGGATAACTGGTCATTTCAGCCCTTCGATCCCAAGGCTGGCTGTGCGGTCACCTCTGACCCATGTATCCCTTTTCGGTCTCTTTGCTATCTTGGAGGACCCATGAGGTGGGCAAGGAAGCTTCACCCAGAAGTCCTGCCGCAGTGGAGCTTAGAGAACCAAGAAGTGTAAGAGAAGCTGGGGTGGCCAGAGCCCCGGTGGGGGGCAAGAGGGAGAAGCAGACTCAGCCACGGTGGCCAGCACCTAGCCAAGCGCAGGCCTGTGGTGGGTCACTAGGAAGGGAACGTGCCCACTGAAGGGGCACACTGATGTATGAGGGGGCAGTTTCTACACTGGCTTTGCCCTGAGGGGTGACGTGGTGTGAAACCAGAAGACACAGCCGGTAGCTGCCTTTGGGGTAGAGCCAGGGAGTAAGACTTTGCATTTCCTTCCTGGGGGACCAGAGGTGGCGTCTGACGGGTGTGGTTCATTTCTGCCCCTGCCAGGCTTCTCAGGACCCTGGCCCGGGAAAATCAGCCCCTCACAGGTGGAATCACTGCAGCTTCGTCTGGTCCAGGTGTGGCACGTAGTAGCCCAGGGGTCGGTGATGCACCTCATAATTCCCCTCCTTCTTCCGCCGGCGCATGGTTACCTGGGAGGGTGAGAGGAGGGCGTCAATGGATGGTCAGCTGCCCACGTAGGGGAGACCCCAGGGTGAGGATATGGCCCAGGACACAGACCTGAGGCTCCCACGTCCCCTCTCCCCCCCTTTTCCTCTTTCCCTTCTCTCTCTCTCTTTTTACTCTCAATTTTAAAATATGTCCCTCTCTGTTATCTCCATTTCTTTCTCTCCCTCCCCCTCAACTTCTTTATTAATTATCTATTATTTATCTGCCTATCATCCATCTGTACATCATCTATTAATTGTCTATCATCTATCAACCATACATGCGTCTGTCTATATATTATCTATCAATCCTCTGTGATTTCTCTAGCAATCATCATTTATCAGTCATCTATTTGTCATTTATAATAATCTCTAAATCTATCAGCCATCATCTATCATCATCCATCAGTCATCTATCAATTGTCTGTAATCTATCAACCATTTATGTACCTAGCATCTATTAATTGTGTCATCTATCAATCATCTATCATCATCAGCCATCTATGATCATCGGTGTATCTATCTGCCTATCAATTACCTATCAATCACTTATCTCTCAGTCTCTTTGTCTTGGTAACTTTCTCTCTCCCTCTTCCTCTCTCTCTCTTTCCTGCCCCCACACCCCTCCAGCTTCACTGAGACAAAATTCAACACATGGTAAACTGCACGCCTTCAGAGTGAAGGGTTTGATGTGTTCTGGATACGACATCACACATCACCTCCGAGATTATCCTCCTGTGCCCTTATAATTCCTCTTCCCCTGCTACTCGCAAATACATTTTCACTCCCAGGAAGCCACTAGTATGATTTTTTTCCCTGTGAATTAGTTTGTATTTTCTAGAATTTGTTTATAAATGGAATCATACAATATATACTCTTTTCCTTTGGCTTATTTTCACTCAACGTATATCTTTGTCATTTATACATGTTGCATGTATTCATACTTTATTCCTTTTTATTGCTGAATACTTTCCCACTGTCTGAATAAACCTGTTGATGGACACTGGGGTTGTTTTCAGTTTTAGGTTAGTATGAATGGAGCTGCTGGGAACATTGGTGCACAAGTCGTGTATGGATATAGGTTTTTAAAATTTTCTCTTGGAGAATTTACTAGGAGTTGGCTGGTTGACCACATGGCAAGCATGTGACTTTCAAACACACCATCAAGTTCTGTTCCACTGGCTCTGTGTAAGGATTCCAGTGGCTTCACGTCTTCACCAAGAGTTGCATCGTCAGTCTTTTTAACTTTTGTCTTTCTCACACCTGGTGGTGTCTCACTGTGACTTCCATGTACATTTCTCCAATGGTTAATGTTAGATTTTGACTTATTGTGCAACATGGTGACTACAGGTAATAATAATGCAGTGTGTATTCCAAAATTGCTGAGAGTAGATTTCAAATGTTCCCATCACAAAAATGCGACAATGGGTCTGTTAATGAGCTTGGTCTCACCATTTCACTGTGTATATCAAAGTATCGCATCATATACCATACGTGTATTCATTTATTATTTGCCAGTTAAAATTTAAATTTAAAAAAGGCAAGCTACAAAATCACTAGGGAAAAATACATGCAAAAAGTATCTCCAGCAAAGGCCTTGTGTTTATAGTAAGCAGCCATGCATCACTTAAGGATGGGCTGCCTCTGAAGAATGCACCTCAGTCACCTTTGTCATTGTGCAAACACCACAGAGTACACTGCACCAGGCAAGGTGGCTGTGGCATCACCGGGTGAGAGGATCTCTTGGGGCCGAGGTCATGCATGAAGCCCGTCACGGACCAAAACGTCATTATGTGGTGCGTGACCGCGTTAAAAATTCTTACAACCCAATCATAAGAAGACAGGTAACTCTCCCTCGCTCACCAGGTAACAGCAGATCAGGCACGTGATGAGTCCCAGGAGTCCCGCCAAGCAGATGAGGATGATGGCCCAGAAGGGAAGGGCTGGGGAGACAGGTGTTGGGTGAGCCACCTCCTGCCACCTCCTAGGGCTCCCTTTGACCCCATGTGGCCTGAGGACGGGCATGGACTTGGGGGGGGGGAGCTTAGCAGCTCAACACCTAATGGCTCTGAAGCCCCCTGCAAGCTCCCGCCCCAGGAGGCCAGGACATCTGAGGCCTCTCCACTGTGCCTCAGGGGCCCTTGCCAGGGGTTGACATGAGGACGTCCCCTCCCTGCCTGGGCAGGGGCTACTTTGAAACTTACCAGAAGTTCTAGTCATAGCATCATTTATGGTGGGAGAATATCCTAGAAATGAAGGAAATGGAGAGTGCAGGTGAGTATACTTCACTTTTTTTTGGGGGGGGGGTACTGTTGATTGAACTCAGGGGCACTTCACCACTGAGCCACATCTGCAGCCCTGTTATGTATTTTCTAAAGAGATAGGGTCTCACTGAGTTGCTTAGTGCCTCTCCATTACTGAGGCTGGCTTTGAACTCGCGACCCTCCTGCCTCAGCCTCCCGAGCTGCTGGGATCACAGGTGTGTGCCACTGTGACACAGCTGATGGACCTGTTGATGGACCTGTTCCGCCCTGGGAGGGAACCCAGGACCTTGCATATGCAAGGCAAGCCCTCTTCCCCTAAGCTCCACCCCCAGCTCTAGCTATTCCTTCCAGAACTGTGTTGAGTTATGTGCTAGGAGGAACACAGGGTTCTTGGAATGCAAGAGTGAACAAGTGAAGTCGCTCTAATCCTGACGTTGCCGGTGTTCGCTGCAACACACACAACCATTGTTCAAATGAGTACATTCGTACGCGCAAGAGTTAGCCATGTAGGAGGCACTTCTGGGTCAGAAAAGGGGTCCATCCATCCTATCATGTTTTCTGAGACTGGATCACACACAGCGTGGAGCTGACTACCTTATTAAGAGGCCTGCAGGGCAGAGATAGGAGGAGTCCAGAGAGAAGTGTCTTGTCTGAAGTCTGAGGTCACAGAGCTTTCTGGGAGAGGGTGAAACCCTCCCTTGTTCCCTCTGGGTGTCTTTCCTCTCTCCCTCAACGGTGGGTGAAGCCTGGAGGGACTACGCCACCTCTTACTCATCTGAGACGCTTCAGTGCTGTTCCACCCCAAGGCCTTGAGATTCCAAGGAATCCCCAGGTGTGGAGGTTGGAGCCTCTGTCCCAGCTCCAAGGATCCGGGAGACTTACCATCCACAAGGACACTGCTCCTGTCCAGGGTGAAGTTCAGCAGGTGGGTGCCATTCTGAGTCAGCCGCAGGAATTCCTCATAGATGGTAATTCTGTCCACTCTCCGGGTCAATGGTAAGTAGTAACACAGGGAGTTCACCCCAGTGTGGTTGCTATGGGGGACAGACCTGGAGGGGCACAAAGGTTGGACAAGGGTATCTGGGATTCTGCCCTGGTTCAGATTTCCTGATGTGAGCCTGTGGCGGGGAGCTCTGTGCCTCCATATAAACATTCTTTGAAGGCTGCACCCGAGACAGTCCTTCTGAGCCCCATGTTCTTACAGAGCTCTTAAAACGTGGCTAGGCCGAGTGAGTGAGGAATGGAACGTGTAATTAAATTAAATCTAATTAATGCAAAAATAAATAACTTCAGGGAAAACATTTCTGAAATGTTGGAGTATGGACTTCTGAAAAAAAAAATCCATCAAACAGTGAGCACACTACAAACAGTTGTCAAAATCAATTTTTTTCAGAAATCCAGGAATTCCCCCAAGGCTTGCAATAATCCTAGGAGTGTTCAGTAAAGAGAGCAAGCTTTGTGGCATTTCAACTTCCTTATTCCCATGCTGTTCTCCCAGAATCCTCCGTAATTTTGAAAACCAACGGTCTTGAACCCCTGGCAGCTATGAAAAGCAGCCACTAGCCGCCCCAGTGTGATCCCCAAACACCTATCTCCCACAGGACTGTCACTCTCTGACCTGTCCGGCATCTCCTTGCAAAAGTCCTGTTCTCAGGGAGCGCCTCATTTGATGTGACTCAGAACTTGCTCAGTGCCAGGAAGGGCAACCCAGGACACTGTCAAAAACAATCAGCAGCAAAGGCACCAGAAACAGACTTTGGAGAAACAGCAACCTCTTTAACAAGAGTGCTGGGAAAACTGGGTATCCACGTGTGGAAGATGGAAACTCGATCCTCAGCCCTCGTTCTGTGCAAAAATCAACTCAAAATGAATCCAAGGCCTTACTGCAAGGCCTGGCACTGTGGAATTATGAGAGGAAAATAAAGACCTCGGCGCAGGGAGCGATTTCCTGAACAGGACTCTAATCGCACAGGACACAAAAGCAAGAACGGACAAATCGGATGACATCAAATGAAAAGGCTTCGGCCCAGCAAAGGAAGCAATCAACAAAGAGAGCCTACAGGATGGGGAAATCCTCGCTGGCTCTTCATCCGACAGAGCACTCACGTCTAGAATACACAGTCAGCTCAAGGCACAGAACACCAAAGAATAAGTGATCCAACCCAAAAGGGGCCAATGAAGTGATCTGAACAGACACCTCTTAAAAGCAGAGTTATAAATGGCCAATCGTATATAAAAAATGCTCGGAAAGGCCAATCAAAACTACCTTAAGACTCCGCCTCGCCCCTGTCGGAATGGCTATTCCCAACACATGAAGCAAAAGAAAACAGTAACAAATACCAGGGAGGATGCAGAGAGAAAGGATCGCAGACACTGTCGGTGGGAATGTAAATCAGTGTAGCACGACGATGGAGGTTCTTCAGAAAACTAAAAGCAGAACCATCACAGGAGCAGCTATCCCGCTCCTGAGTGCATCCCGGAAGAAAATCAAGTGAGCACACAGAAGAGACACCTGCATACCTATCTTTACTGTGGCTGTTCATAGTAGCTTAGTTTTTGGAACCAGCCCACGGTGTCCATCAATGGATGAAGAAAACGTGGTGTATATACACAATGGAGTACTATTCAGTCATAAAGAAGAATGAAATTATGTCATTTGCAGGAAAATGGATGGAGCTGGAGGTCATCATGTTAGGTGAAGTAAACCAGACCCAGAAAGACAAGGATCACATGTTGTGTCTCATATTAGGGAACTTAAAAATAAAAAAAAAAGATGATCTGAAAGAAAAAGAATTGTTATGGATGGGGAAGGGGAACAGGGGGAGGGGGAAGAGAGAGGAGGGAAAGAGAGGGTAGCTGGGAGTGGATATGATTAAAATCTGAGATAGACATGGGGGAATGTCTGTGAAATCCATTAATGTGCACTATTGATATTATTTAATATTCATTTAAACATCAATTGACATTAATTGTTCAATGCCACAGCTACCTGCAGCAGCCTCATGGTTGAACAGAAAACCTAAGAGGAAAATTGGGGGAATACTTTACAGGAGGATTTGGTGGATCTGGGATGTGTTCTGAGGATCTAGAAGCCACCACTGTGCAGGGCCTATAATCCCAGAGGCTCAGGAGGCTGAGGCAGGAGGATCGTGGGTTCAAAGCCAGCCTCAGCAACTTAGTAAGGCCCTAAGCAACTCAGTGAGACCCTGTCTCAAAATAAAACACACGTTAAAGTTTCCCTCATCCTTGGAGAACACAGGCTGCAAATCAACTCATTAAAAAATATCCAAGTCAAATAGAAGCCAACTAGTTTGAATATTGTTACTTTTGATCCATCAGTAAATTTACTCCAGAAGGTGATTTCTTTTCTTCTTGTTCTTGTGTTCTTTTTGCGATCCCGGGGATTGAACACAGGGCCTCACGCATGCTAGGCAAGCAATTTCCACCCCTGAGCGACATCCTCAGCCCTCTGTATTTTTTTATTTTGAGGTCAAGTATTGCTAGGATGCCCAGGCTGGCCTCAAAATTGACGTCCTCCTGCGTCAGCTTCCCTTTTATAGGTGTGCACCACTGAGTCTGGCCCCCAGTATCTGATTTCTTGAGGCAAGAATTCTACACTCTAGACTCCTTGGCTCCCCGGGCCAGGCACCCCCATGTCTGCTGGGGCTATGGGTTTCCAAGACAGTTGGGCTCACTGCTTTAGGAAGAAGCTGGATTTTGGGGTAACAGTTCCATATTCCAAAGGCTCTCTTCGTAACAGCTGGGACTAAGAGACTGTGGTCAAGGGGACACTTTTATTTAAGTGCAGCAGAAGTTCTCAGGGTCATTAGTTGGAACTCACCTGAATGCTAAAACTTGACAGTCAGAAAAGTAACTCTTGATGCTGCTGTTTCGGAAAAGCTGGTTGAGCTGAAAGAGAGGGCGACGTTTCTTAGGTCAGAATCCCAGACTCAGTTGTAAAAGAGAATTAACGGCCTCCGAGTATCCTTTCCCATCTATTTTTTTCTTTGATGAAAACCAACCCAGATGTAAAAAGATGTCCTGTTCTGGGGGTACGGCATAGCTGTGTGATTCTGGGATAGCTACTGAACCTCTCTGGGCCTGTTTCTTAGTTTGAACCACGGGAATGAGAACTGTTACAACAAGTCCCCCTTTGGCTACCACAGGCTGGTCTCTGCCTGGGGACAGTCCGAGTGGACACAACGTAAGGCTCTCTCACCGCATTCTCCAGGCTTCTTTTGTTCCGTTGGTGTCTGGCTGTGCCTGGCTGAGCCATGTCCTGGGTATAGAGCAGGTTGGTGACGGTGAAGTTGAGCTGGAAGTTCTGGGAGCTGGAACTCCTGGTGGGCACTTCTGTTGGTAGAGGAGTGGACGGCTTCGCTTCTAGAATAGACAAAGAAAAAAAAGTCCTGTGTCGGGGGGAGTTTTAAGAAAGGGGTCATTTCAGCCAGCCCTCTACCTGTTCACCTCTCCACGGGCGACGTGGGAGTTCCCTGTGATGGGGGAGGGCGAAGGGCTCTCTGGGGAGTGGTGGGCAGGTGCAGGTGGGGACCGCCCATCTGTCACATACCTTCCCTGGAGATTCCGATGGAGGCCCTGCATTCCCAGAGGTTCTTCCTGCCTCTGGTCTTCCTCCCAACCCATTCTGCACCCCTTGTTTGTTGAATCAATAAATGTGAACTGCAGTAGATCCCCAAATTTGGCGGTATGTGTGTGTGTGTGTGTGCGCGCGCTGAGACATTTGTTTTTCATTGTACACTCATTTGCTCTGTGCTATGATGCACCAACACATTAAACGGAGGATACAGTGGCATATCCACTAGATCTCAATTGACAGAGCTCACAGACAAGGGGGCAGTTAAGTCATCAGCCGCGTAATCACAGTACATCGTGGCACGTGAGGGTGGTGCCTTCTGGGAACCCTGGGACCAGGGCCAACAGGGTTTTTCACCCTGCAGCTACTGGCATTTGGAGCTGTGTGGTGGGATCTCCTGTGCCCTGGAGGGTGGTTGGCAGCCTCCCTGGACGCTATTCTCTGAATGCCAGTAGTAATCTTCCCCACCTGTGACGACCCCAAAGTCTCCTGGTAAGCACAAGTGCTGCCAAGCTGAGAATCACGGACCCAAAGGAGCCTCTTCCAGAAAACTCTTTGATTCCATCCCGAAGGATCCCATGGCTCAGACTTTGGGTTTGTCATGAAAGCCATCAAGGAGGAGCAGGGAGGACATTATGCTAAGTGAAATCAATCCGACAAAGAGACAAAAATACGGTGTGCCCTCACTTAAACGTGGAATCTGAAAAAGTTGAAATCATTGGAGCCGAGAGAAGGGCGGTGGTTACTGAGGCTGCCAGGGGCCTCTGGCAGGAAAGGCAGAAGGTTTAGCCTGTGCAGGGCTCTGGGTCTGATCCCCAGCACCGCAAAGGAAAGATGGAAAGGAGAGAAGAAAAAGGAAAAAGAGGAGGAGGAGGAGGAGGAAGGGGAGGAGGAAGAGGAGGAGGAGGAGGAAGGGGAGGAGGAAGAGGAGCAGGAGGAAGGGGAGGAGGAGGAGGAAGGGGAGGAGGAGGGGGGAGGAGGAGGAGGGGGAGGAGGAGGAGGAGGAAGGGGAGGAGGAGGAAGAGGAGGAGAAGGGACAAAGTTTCTCAACTGAGATGTCCATCAACTGATGAACAGATAAAGAAGACACGGTACATACACTGGCATGCTACTGAGTCATTTGTGACAATCCTGTTATTTGTGACAATATGGAGAGAACTGGAGATCTCAATTGGAGAATTGGATAAGCGACAGAAGCCAGGCACAGAAAGACAAAGACTGCAAGATCTCACTCCTACGTGGAATCTAAAGAAACTGATCTCATAGAAGTCAAGAGTGGACCACTGACTCGGGAGGCTGAGGCAGGAGGAGCACAGGTTCAAAGCCAGCCTCAGCAACTTAGTGAGCCTCTGTCTCAAAATAAAAAAAAAAAAATAAAAAGGGCTGGGGGTGTGGCTCAGTGGTTAAGAAACCTGAGCTCAGTCCCTGATACTGGGAGAAAAAAAAAAAAAAAGTCGACTGGTGGTCACCAGATGCTGGGGATGGTTGGTGGGGTGGTCAGTGGGTGCCGGGTTGCACCTAGAGAGGAGCAGGGAGTCTTGCGCACTATTCCAACACAATGGGTGGAACCAGCACCCGGACACCCTGGCTTCTTAATTTTCATGGGACTGTGGAGGTGGGGGACTGGGATCTGATCTTGGGGAGGAAAAGGGACCCTCAGATACCTGTGGTGGTTTCTGGCTGCGCAGATGTCTTGGGCGAAGGCAGGAATGTGGTAGTTAACTCAGGAGCTGCAGAAAGAGTCACCATCAGGGAAGCACCGAGCCCCCACGTCTGAGAGAAGCCCCCACGCCCCCTGGGCTGCACTGGGGGCCACGCCAGAATCACCGATCCCAGGTGAACCGTGGACCAGAGTGAGCGGAAAGAGCATGCGCACGGCGGGTGGGGGGCAAGCCTGCGAAGGAAAGGGACCCCAGAGGGAGCCTGGGTGACAGAGAGGAGGACAGAGAGGACCCTGGGATGCACGGGCAGAGAGAAGGGACGGAGAGGAAGGAGGGATGAATGTAGGGTCAGAAGAGAAGGCAAGGAGGAGCGCGCGGAGGGGCGGTTGGGGACGTGGAGGTGGAGAAGGAAGGACAGGCGGGTGAAGGGGAATGGAGAGAGGCACTGACGGGTGGGTAGTTGGGAGGACCAGTGGGTGGCTGGGTGAGTGGCTCAGTAGATGGCTGGGAGGCTCACGGGGCGGGTGGGTAGGTGGATGTGTAGGCAGATAGAGGAAGGAAGGACAACCAGGCAACTAGGCAGCAGGATGGGTATACAGATGGATGGACGGTCGGATGGACAGAAGATGTCTGAGGACCTGATGGAGAATGGACGGCTCGGCAGGCAGCCGAGTTGACCACTAGATGGCAGCACGCGCAATTTTAGCTAAAGCCACCAGGGAGCTGGCAGAGTTTGCCGCTTGACACCAAGAAGCCCCTGCTGGGCACCCCGTGGTCTTTGAGGCATAAGTTACACGGCCACCGTGTGACCTCCATCCCTAGGTTCAGAGGATGCTTGTTCAGACTTCTCCCTTAACTCGGACGAATGTGGGGAATTCAGAATCCAACGCCACGTTACAGGTGCGAGAAGAGGCCAGGGATTTAGCATCCTCCCCCCCTCCCCACTGAGACCCTGGCCCCTCCCAGGAGACCCGCCTGAGTTTGGGAAGGAAGGAGAGAAGCTGAAAAGAGCTCTGGATGCCAGGACACGTACTTGGAGGAGGCTCATCTGGACCACGCTCATTGTAACCTGGAAAAGATGTCACAGGTGAGGAGAGGGTCACACCGTGCTGCCCACGCCCACCATAAGTCTGCGTCTTTACCACTTAAGGTGGGCAGGCCCCCCCCCCCCCCGCCACATGCCTCCGTTCACCCCAGGATGTGCCCTGCCCACTTGGTGAGGACAGGGATGAGCTCTGAGCTGTCCCCAGGCTGGGGATGGAGGGGAGGGAGGGATCAGTCGGATCAACCTCCCCACGGCCAGGCTTTGTGACTCAGAACCCCGTGCAGGGACGCCCTCTTGAATTCTATCTTTTCTGGGTTCTGTGCTGATGCTGGTGCCCTAGAGGTCTGGGTCCCCTCTTGGGCCAGAGTCCCTGACTTCCTCCCTGGCATAGGGGACCCACTCTAGAGAGACGTTCATCCCTCATCAAGAGAAGACAGCAGGGCAGGGGTACAGATGGGTTCCCCCCCCCCCCAGGTGTCTCCAAGGAAGACTCCTCTGCGAGCTGCATATCTAGAGCAGAGCCAGGCGACGCATGTGGAAGATGGGGCTCCTTCCCTGGACCGACACCCTCGGGCTGCACCCACTCGGGGAAGCCACCCTATCTGAGCCTCGGTTTCTCCTATAGAATAGGATTCCTCAAGGACCGGCCTTGCAGGGAGGCTGTGGGAGGCTGGACGCGGAGGCAGGGTTCGAAGTCTAAGTCTCCCCTAGAGACCCGACACTGGCATCCTCGTGGGCTGCAGGGGGGTGGGTGGGCTGAGGGCTGCTCACCATTGAGGTAGAGGCTGTCCTTGTCCAGAGAGTAGGGGCCCAGCCTGGTGATGCCACGAGTCTGCCTTCTCAGCTCGTGGAACACCTGCCGGGCGGACAGACCTGGGCCCCTAGGTGGCCGCTGGTAGGTGCAGAGGAGATTCACCTGGGTCTGCTCACCGTTCTTCACAGACCTGGGGAGGGACGGGGGAACTTTTTTTGGGGGTGCAGGTGACCTGGCACCTGCCCACCTGCAGTGGAGAGTGGTCACTGCCCCTCACAGCCTGCCCGTGCTTTCCCATCTCAGGAGCTCGCCGCTTGGCTACTTCTGTCTGGAAACCTCTCTCCTCCTGGCCTCTCCTTCCCCTCCTCTCCCCCTCCCCCTTCCTCCTTCAAGAGCCTCTGACGCCGGGCCCTGGGGGATCCTGCAGTCCCCGTTCTTCCCCATCACAGCCCTGGTCACTCTCGACGGGATCATAAGTCATTTGTCCCTGTTTCTTCCAGAACGTGGCCTCTTGAGGGCGGAAACTGGACTACTCTAGTTCACGGTTGTCATATGGAAGTCCCAGCACCCAGCCCATGGGCCTACCCCAACAGATGGATAAGAAAAGTGAGAAGTATTTCATACAAACGAAATATTATTCAGTCCCGAAAAGGGAGAAAAACCTGACACGTGCTATAACGTGAATGAGAACATTTATGTCACTGGAACAAACCAGTCACCGGAAGTCTAACACCGTGTGCTGCTGCTCATCAGAGGTTCCTGGAGCTGTCGAATTCACGAGACAGAAGGAGAAAGGGGCCAGGAGCCGGGTGGGGGACAGGGAGTTAATGTTGGAGGATGACAGTGTTTGGGAAGTTTTCAGTTTGGGAAGATGGAAAGCCCTGGAGACGGGTGGTGGTGACACCTGCACATGCGTGAAGGATTGTGCACCAAAAAATCCTCCAAAGGCCCGTTACTAAAGGCTTAGTCACCAGGTGGCGCTGTAGGCCTTTAAGAGGTCCTCAGGTTATAGGAGGTGTGCCCTCCAAGGGGAGAGTGGGGCTCCACCAATCATCTTTTTTTTTTTGGTTCCTGGCAGGATGTAAATGGGTCATTCTGCCACACACTCCTGAAATAATTTGCCTCCTTCATCAGATGCTCAAAGCTATGGGGCTAATGCCATAGAGTGGAGCTTCCAAACCATGAGCCAAAAGAAACCTTGTCTTTGTGAATGAATTGCCTCAAGCATTTTGTTATAGTAATGTGAAGCTGACTAGTACAGATGGCAAATTCCATGTGCATTTTACTGCAATTTTTAAGAAGTCCCCCAAGACCCTACAGAGCATGGATGCTGATAATGTCTTGAATCTCATCTTCTCCTTTTTTTCCCTCTGGCTCCCCTCTCCAGCCACTCTGGCCTCCTTGGTCTTCCCTGAGCAGGCCAAGCTCATTCTCACCCAGGGCCTTTGCCCATGCTGTTCTCTGTGCCTGGAAGTTTTTGTGGCCATTGGGGCACAACTCAGAAGTCACCCTCACTCTATTTAATGCTCCCACACCACCTGATGACATTTGAAATCATGTTCCTTAGGTATTTATTTTCCTAATTAATATCGGTTCCTTTTTTTCTGGATGAGGACAGGGACAGTGTCTGTCTGTGTCACTTTGGTGGCTCTACCTAGCTCAGAGGAGCTATCACTTGAAGGGAAATACGAATGGGCAAGCACTTAGTAAACACCAGCAGAATGCACACTGACCCGGGAGTCAGAGCACCTGCCCAGGGCGTGCGGCCTCTCCTTCAGGTGACAGAGAGGTTTGGAAACACATAGTGGTGGTGGCTGCTACAGGGGAGAACCCCACGTGAATCTGCTACAGGGGAGAACCCCACGTTCTCTGCTTCTCTTGTTCTTAACTGACTTGGAGGTCCCACGGCCGGGAAATACATTATTAGCCTGCTATGGAGGGTGCCTCTGATGCGTGGTCATAATGACAACAGTTGCCTAGGTGACTTCAGGGACCTTAGGCTGCTTTTCCTGGGAACATTGACCCTTTGCTGGGCCTGCAGGCGTCCCATGGGTGACGGCGGTGGGAAGGAAAGGTGTGGCATCTCTGCCTTCATGCCGTGTCCAACTCCCTTGTGGCCTTAACCTACGGGATTCCAATCAGCTCTGCATGTGGACGTGTGTGTGTGTGTGTGTGTGTGTGTGTGTATGTGTGGTGTCCGTCCAAAGTCAATGAGATCAGTATCGCAAACAGCAATCTCCACTCCTGAGCTCCTCCCAGCACTATCGCCACAAAGGGACTCCTAATGGTCACGCAGACCGTACGTAGGACGATGGCTGCCAGGGCTGGGGGATGGGGTAGGGTGATACTGGTCAAAAGGCGCAAAGTGGTAACTAGGTAGAGAGACCTGGATTAGCTGGAAGGTGGCCATCACTTCACAGCGGATATCAACATACACAATTTTTATATGTCAAAAGTGAAGTTGTCATAAAATAAAGAACTGAAAAGCCCAAGAAGAGAACAAACTAGCACACGCCAGCCGAGGGGCGAGGCCTTTGGTGGGTGGAGGAGGGCAGGGGCTCTTCTCACCTTAGGGCCGTGACCTGGCAGCCTCTGTACTGGGCCCCCAGGCTGCTCCTCTGGAACAAAGGGCTGAGCTGGAGAGGAAGGAGGGAGGCTGTGTTGGTCCAGGCAGGTGCTGCCCGCCGAGGGGGAGGGCATGGGGCGAGGGGAGAAGCCACTCACCAGGTGCTGCATGAGGGTGTCCGTGATGTTGAACTTGAGGGATCGGGGGTGGCGCATTTCAGACGAGTAGCGCAGGTTGCGGAGGGTGAAGTTCAGGGTGAAGGGCTCCCTGCTGACCTCCCCAGCTATAGCAGGTGGGCAAGAGAGGAAGCTGGCAGGGATGACCGTGGCCGAAGGGGGTGGCATGGGGGCCAGGTGGGGGCGGTGTGTGCCCTTGGGTGGGGCCTCCAGGGCCCCCTGTCCTGGGTCCTGGTGGAGAGCCCCAGGCCCCTTCAGCCTCTGCTTCCTGCTTCACGAGTTGCTACTTGAATAAGCTGTTTACATTTTTAAAATCATGCCTCAGTTTACCTTTTGACGGCAGGAAGGGAGGGTTTGTGATGGAAGCCAAGGGAGGGTGGGAATGTGGGGGAATGTGTCCCGAGAGCCCTCCCGCCCTGGGCTGGGACACTGCAATGGCCCAGGAGAGAGAGAAGGCGGGGGTGGTGCTTCCCTCTCCGAGGACAGGGGGTGTGGGAAGCCAACATCGGGGGTACTCACTGGTGGGGGTTAGGGCCGCGGATCCAAAGGTGTAACCTGCACAGAGAAGTGAGGCAGAGCCGAGGGTCAGCTGGGGGACCCCGAAGATCAAGGATAGAAGAGGTCTGGGGAACTGTTTTGGGGTCAAAGCAGAGGAAAGAGGCGGTGGAGGGACGTTCTGGGAGAAGGTTATCGGGCGACGGGACTGCAGGTGGCTGGACCTGGTCACTGACCAGGTCCATCTCAAGGAAGATGGAAGTCAGACCCAGAAGGAGAGAAAGATGGGCCCAGGTCCCCCCTAGAGAGATGGAGGCTTTGCTCGAACTCTGGGAAAGCCCACTCCAACGGGCAGAGGGAGCATGGCTCTGAGACGGCCCCTCACCGTTGACGTAGAGACTGTTCCTGTCCAGACTGTAGGAGCCCAGCCGGGTGACACCATGGGTCTCGTGGCTCAGCTCCCAGTACAGCCGCTCCGTGTCCAGCTGGGCGCCCACGGGGTCAGAGTGGAAGGTGCAGATCATATCCACTCCCGTGGAGGCTCTGCCATCCTCAGGCCTGGAGAAGGGGGGACATGGGGCGCAGAATGCTGAGGAGGGTCTTGAGCCATCTGGGTGTGGGGGGGAGAAGGCCGAGGGAGACACCGTGGGGCCAGCTGTCAAGGCCACAGGGGGCCTGCTCCTGAGTGTGTCATCAGACGGCCTCCTGGCCCTGGGGACCCGACACATCTTGAGTAAACTGTGCAGACAGGGTGTGGGGTTGTCCTCCTGCGTCTCAGAGGAGAACCCTCCCTGAAGGCAGAGTGTCACCTGGATTTTGTACACTAAACACAGTTCCTCATCTCAAAGCCACCGAATGCTCAGGCCTTTGCTCCCCCTGGGCAGGAAGAAGGGGTGGCGGTCCCACGGTAGGTGCTGGAGGCTCCCTGGCTGGTGGCTGAGGTCCACCCCACCCGAGTGAGCACTTCCTCCGGGCCTCACCTGAGCGAGGCCAGCCTGCAGCTGGCGTAGAGGGGGCCCACACTGGTCTTGTTGAGCAAGGTCTCGAGCTGGTGGGAAGGGACAGGAGGTTAGAGAGCCCGGCCGCAGGGTGATGCGGGCAGGGGTGAGGGGGCCGGGGGTGGCCATGGGAGGCTCTCACTTGGCGCTTCAGGATCTTCTCGGTGAAGATGAACTTCAAGGACCCTGGGTGCTCCATCTCTTCCGTGTGTTGCATGTTGGTGATGGTGAAGTTGAGGGTGACAGCTACCACGGAGGAGCCATTGACTGCAGAGGAAGAGGAAGGTGTCAGACACAGTAGCCACCCTGCCGCCGGCCTCCGGTCCTGACTGCGGGTCGCTGGCTGTAGACGCCTGAACTGCAGCGGGGGACCTCGTGGAATCCCTAAGACTTCAGGAACCTTGTGTCATTCAGGGAGCATTTATTGAGTGCCTAATGTGTGCAAAGTTCTCTGATGGAAGTGGCAACACCATTACGCTCTTGGGGGAGGCCATGAACCATCCAGGAAGGCCACCAAGCAATGACTTAAGATGGCTTTCCAGAGAAAGCGCCATTTCAGGTGTGACCAAAAGCATGGGTAAGGGGCCCACCGTGGAGCGCGGACTCCAGGAGGGAGCAGCCGCCTGGGCAAAGGCTGGGAAGAGGAGAGAGCAAGGTGCCGCGACGCACAGGAACAGGAAGTCCTCTTATGGTGGCCGTAGGAAGGGACGATGTGAGAAGGGAAGGACCCAAAGGGGAAGGAATGACTCTGCAGAACACGGGTCCGGATGTGGCTTGCACACCAGATAGAGTCATCCAAAGATTGACGGGAACCCCACGGACAAAGGTACCTTAGGAGGGAGGTGGCAGCTGAGGTGCAGAGGGTGACGGGAGGCCAGAGTGGAGGCTGTGGGTGTCATCAGAGTGAGGCAGAGAAAGGAAGGGCTTGGGAGACCCCAGAGGGAGGAGGGGTTAGATTGGCCGCGGGGTGGACGCAGGAGGTGAGCAGGAATGGTCAAGCCTGGCTTTCTGTCTCTGCTTTTGGCAACGGAGGAGGAGGTTTGGGGGACCTTCTCCTTAGGGTGTCAGAGACCAGGGGGCCTGTGTGATGGCCGGGAGGCGAGAGGGCCACAGGTCAGTAACCTCTGTGTGGCATGGGCTGGACCCGGGATTTGGATCCTGAGACCTAGACGGTCCCTGGAATCCACAGAAATGGGTGAGTTCCTTGGGGAAGGTGAGCGAGCAACAAGAGGAATGATTAGGTGCAAACGGGTCGGTACCAATTGTACTGGAGCAAAGAGAAGCCTGCATCCTGGAGATGCTGCCTTCCCACCTGGGGCAGGCGGAGCCAGAGAGGGTGCTAAGAAGAATGCGGTGGTCATGGCTGCCGAGCAAAAAGGCCAGGAAGGAGATCCAAGGTGTGCTACCTCTTTAAGGGAACGGGGTCAGCTGTGGTGATTGCCGTGTATGAATTTGTGCCTTTCTCTGTACCCCATACAGTCTGGAGTCGGGGCCTCCTCCCTGGGGATACGTGTGCAGGGGTAGGCGACTTTGCCACCCCGATTCAGTCCCCATTCCTATGCATCTCCTCTGGACTCTTCCCCATCCAAAGAGTGGGTAATCAGGGAGGGCCGGCTGGTTGAGGAGCTCCCAGTTTGGGGGGCAGGGTGGAACCCAGGGATCTGGACTACTATGATTCACAAAATGAAGACAGAGCCCTCACCTGGAAAGGGTCAAAGTTCACTCCTAACCCCAGAGCGGCCGAGGCTTTACTTCAAGTACAGTCCTGGATGGAAGCTAACTAAGGATCTGCCGCAGCAGGGAAGGACAGCTGCATCCCAGCACGGCCCTTTACCAGGGAGTGGGTCCTCTAACTGCAGAAGTTGGGGGAACATACCCCAAGTGCTGGGCTGGGGCCTCCACCATCCAGGAGATGCCCGGGAGGAGATGCCGGGGTCTGGGAACTAGCAGGTACAGCTCCCTGTACATACTGGGTTGGACGGGGCTGGGATTGGGAGTGGAGGCAAGGAGCCCTGGCCTTGAAGGGCTTGGACCAGGCAGAAGGTTACAAGAGTGAGAGCTGAGAGAGACCCAGAATACTCACTGCTGGAGGTAGTGGTCGAGGCCTGGCGGGTATAGCCTGTACAGGTAGAAGGAGAAAGAGTTAGAGGGAAGGGCATCAGAGAAGAGAGAAAGACCGTGCAGAACTCACGGAACTGCTGTGAGAGATGGCAGCCCCTCACCATCAACATAGAGACTGTCCTTATCCAGGGTGTAGGTCCCCAGCTGGGAGATGCCCTGGGTGAGCTGGCTCAGTTCCTCGTACAACTGCTTTCTGTCCAGCCCAACACTTGTGGGGCCTGGGCGGTGGGTACAAGCAGCATCCACTCTGGTGGCAGCCCCATCCTTCTCTGGCCTGGGAAGAGCAAGTAAGAGAGACAGCTGTAAGTCGAGAGCCCAGGAAGGGGTCCTGAGTTTTGGGGGAGCAGGTCAGGAGGCAGCCAGAGGCAAAGACAAGTGTGGCAGAGAAGTGAGAGGCCAGACTAAGATCCTGTGAGGGACACTGAGGGCAGAGTCATGGACTCAGGAGTCTTTATTAAATGGCGAGACTTTGAGCCTGCATCCCATGGCATGTGGGCAGGAGTCAGACGCTGGGGACCAGAGAAGAGGTGCAGCTGCTGATTAAAACAGGCGGAGAATACAAGTTCGTGCTGAGAGAAATTGACACTCAGAGAAAATGGCCTCATTGGGAAAGGGAGTAGAGTGAGATTTTAGAATGACGACCATCACGTGGGAGATCCAGTATGGTTGATGGATCCTACAAAATCTAGGGGTGGGGTGGGGAGTTGAGGAGCGAAGTTGTAGTTTTAGGACACTCCTGGTGCTACAGCCAACACCTCCTGAATTCCACCTCTACTGAAGACAGCCAGAGGAGTGAAGGAAGGAAGTGACCAAACTCCTGAGCTGGGGAGCAGTTGAGGAAGTCATAGACTGGTACTGGAAGCACTCACCTGAGCAAAGTCAGTCTGCAGCCAGAGTACAGGGGACCCACA